AAAAAAAAAAAAAAAAAAATTTAGAGGTCGGTAGAGGGCGTCCTAGATGGACATTATGCTGACTAGATTGGCGTTTGGCGTTATGTTAAAGAAGGGCCAAATTAAAAATACCCAACCGACGAGCATGCATGAAAAGATCGATGACTGATAATGAAGCGAAAGAGGTATGTACTTATGTAGGAATCGTAGTACTTATTGGCGTTTCACAGTCTTTGCCTACCCCCATGGGAGACAGGCGTGAAGTTATGTATGTATGTTATCGAAGAGACTATAGGCTATCAAACATCTCGCTACGACCAATAGGAGCCGAGGTGCAGAGCATCGGGTGAAGCAACGCGAGCGAACCCTTTGTCTGACGGTTAAAGGATACACGATAACAGTTATCGGTAACAGGTTAGCGACTAGACTAGCAAATGAAAATGAAAGGATAGACTAGAATAGGCCATTAAATAAAAATATCTGCCTAGCCCCATTTAGACCACTACTTTATAAACAAACATACAAAATTGCTTTCACCGCTTCGGTATACGTACATATAGAGGTATACATAGGCAAGAAAATAGATTTGGTTTCTATTTTTAATGCTTTCTTTTCTATATAAATAGTACCTAAGTATACCACTAATACCTGCATAATACCTATCTAAATCTGCACCTACCTACCTATGTCTATAGATACCTAATTAGAAAGAAGAAAGAAAGAAAAAATTACCTACACATACATGGATACCTATAGCCTACCTATACCTATAGTCTGTAGATACCTATCAAGTCAAATGTCAAATTGTCATCGATTAGCATCGTCAAATATCGATCGACTGCACAAGTAAACAAATAAAACCACTAGAATAACACACCTTCACATTCATGGATGCGTAACTTGACGTTGACAGACGGATTAGGTAGGAGTAATAATACCTAAATAAATTAAATAAAATCTTAATAGAATAAGTAAGTACCTATATCGTAGTAAATAGAAGTAAGGAACTATAGGTACCTAAATAGGAACTAAACTAAGTTGGTAAAAAACAAAAAAAGAATTTAACATTTATAAATACCTCCATAATTATAAACACGTAATTGTACTAAAATAGGTGTTTTTTACGTTAAACGTTTAAAAACACGGATAATTGTAGGAAATAGGCACTAAGTAGAACTTGAAAAAAAAAATTAACTGTGATATCTAAAACAAAAGAACCAAATTTTCTTAAACGGGAATGGGACATATCTGTGAATTCTTATGCAACAGGATAAAGACAGTTTATTTGGATATTGATTTTAAAAAATGCAATCGTTACCTGCATGCTTTGGACAGTGGTCTATTTGTTTTAAAAATAGCAGGTAATTGTATAGTTAAAATAACCAAATAACAAACAAATGATATGAATTATTCGAAAGTAGGGAGGTACTCACATGTTGTAAATATGTATTTAACGTAAACTTCACTAACACCAACAGGTTCCTATTATTTCCCACTAAAATCTTGAACTTACGGCATTGACACTATACACGTCTACTCGTTTGACCAACTCTGAGAGCAACTAAAACCAACCTTGCGTCTGTATGAATAACGAACAAAAATGATTCACTCGTGGAGGCCAAACAAAAGGCCTAGGTTATCGTGGTGTTAACTTTTAACTCTCAAACTCTACATATTATCAGTATTATCACTTATCACAATTTATTTTTGAATTTTCTTCATATACCTATCATTTATAACATTTTGTAAGTAATAAAATTATGAATGAAATGCACAGAAAATACTGTATCTACTATCAAGGTTTTTTCAGGGTTGAACATGACCCAAATAAAAGCCGCGTTGAAAAAATATAGGTAAATAGATTAGCACGATACACACACCTTCTATTGCGGTTATTTCCCGACTTCTATTGAATATCTTCTTTCTTCGAACTATAAGGTTCTCTTATAATTTTGATTATTAAATATTTATTTATGTGTACACCAACAACTATTCACCTGAATTATTAGGTATATTATTATGTTATATAATAGACTAGCTGTTTTTCGTGGCTTTGCTGGCGTCAAATATAACAATCCTTATGTCATCCCTTATTAAGTAAAAATCGAGGAAGGCTATAAATCATCACGCTACATCAATCGGAGGCGAGCTAAGAGAGTTAAACCGCGCTGGTGTAGCTAGTAATCAATACCTACACAAGTCTCCCATTCGTAATATGAAATATCAATTAATTTTTTTCCTCATCAGCTCTGTGAAGTTTTCAGTATGAATACAACTAGGTACTTATTTTGGTCCATGCTAAGGCTATTACGTACGTACTTAACTATCGTATTGTTCCCAAACTAGATCAAGCTAATCTCTGTGAAAGTTATTGTAGGTATTTACAAAACTGTATGGTGAAAGTAGATAAAGTAGAATGGATTTGATTATTATGCTATACGATATTGATTTTTTTTTTAAATTTCAATCCTTAACTCGTCGAGTACCGGTTTTGTAGACACAATTATAGAACAATAGGTTGCGGTCACCGGTGACCGCTTGGTGTTTGACAGTTTAAGAAATAACCTACGTTCTAACTTCTTTTAACACCGGGAGATTAAATGAAACGCTATAATTTCAATCTTTTATAAATATTGGTAAATATAGGTCAAATGTGGTACAATTAAAATCAGAGGAAATATTTTTATCAATTTCATATCAAAATGGAAACATTCATGCATTATTTTCTACACTTTATCATAATAATTTAACTGTTGATTTCATATATATCATAACCATCTGTATAGGAACTAGAGCTACTTAGTAAGAGGGTGAAATATGAAAAAAATATATTAACACGATTTAATTTAGAACTTGATTCCACAAGAACTTTATAATGCAGATCCTACTTATTTAAACACTGAGTAAATCACCGCAAAATTATTAATATATTCCCCATACCACAAAATTGAACTCAAAAATTGGAATCAGAAGCTCAATAAATAAAACACTGGATAAATGCAATTGAAACTGTGGCAATCAAGTACGACTTTTATTTCAGACTTAATTTTATTTTATAAAATGTTTTACCAGATGACTTAATTGAACGACGTTATTATAAGGTTTTATAGTTACTTGAATTATTTTAAACATATATGTTTGTCAAAATAATAATGACTTACAATTGTGGAAATCCAATTGTTTCATTTTGCATAATGTTTAAAATAACACCTACTTAGTCCATTACAATAAAATGCGATAGAGTGTAGAAAATAGAAATATTCACATTGAACATGCTAAAAACCAATAAAACATGCCACATTCACCATCTTCTGTCTATTAGAATGATAAAATATTATATCAATATCAACTATAACTTACTAGCAACAATATTAATTACTTACAAGTTGGTAGAAATTATAGCTAACAGTGTCCCACAACGTGCACCTAAATCATCAATAAGTTGATCATACTTTACTCATCAGTGTTTCACTATATCTATATAAAAAGCCAATGATACTGACAACAGTGTGTCTAATCTTAGTTTTGCGTAATCAAATCTAGAATTAGGTGACCATTGTAAGACTGCCTTATTAGAAACTAGTTTAAATTGGTTTGACAGTGATAATTCAAAATGCTTTTCAGAGATTACTATTTACTATAATAATATAAGAGACCACTAGGTATTCATATTGTGCATTTAAGTAAAGGACTGTCTTGATGATTTAGTAAATATTGTCAGTCTTTTAAAGTTCGAACAAAAATGCATGCATATATTAATAAAAACATATAGCGTTTAAGTTTCAAACATTTTGTTTTATTGGTTTTTAGAGAAATATACAAAGAAAAGAGGTCGATTAAATATACAGACGATCATCATTTACAAACTAATTAATAAGAAATAACCATTTTAATACTTTAAGACATAAATAATAACACATTTTAAACAATTCAACTTGCTTCTTTGACTTAAAATCTCTTATTACTATTTTTGACTACACTAATAGTATAACCAAGTCCGTTATGTTACATTGTTAATTATCCTATACTGACATAATGTAAAGGCGGTAGGCAGACAACTCCTTATAGCTATGGACTCAGAAACAGAGTGAGAAATAAGCGTCGAGAACGAAAACTGTGTAAAAAGGCTCCTCTAATCACAATTAGACATAATTTTTTTGTTGCTTTAAAAACAGAGATGACATTTAAATAAAATATTAGTCCGTCAGACATCAAAAAAAATATGAGACACGTATTTTTCTACTCTATCTTAAGTTTGAGTACAAAATGTAACTCAAATGTGACATCATGTGTATATCATCATTGAAAGTTTGACATTCCACAAAAAAATAATAAACTGGCAAATTTTAATTATATCTACCAGACAGACATTTAAGTGTTTAGGCTCATCATCGGTAATGTCACATAAATATATTATACAATTATGATTTTTTTCAACTAGTTTAACTGAGTTTGTGTTCAGAGTGCTATGTAATTAGAATCCTATTAAATACATACACTACATACACTGAATACGCTGTATCACACCACAACACTTAATAACCTGATAGAGTTAGAGAGATCTCTCGTGTATAAATATATTTTAAATTTTCATAATGGAAAACTTATCTACACATAAAATTTGACTACATGCACCTACCATAAGGTATGATTGACATTTTATTGCTAATGTTAACAGTATTGTTGATCTCTGTAAAATTACCAGGTTCACAATACAATTTTGGACTACAATATCACAACATACATACATATAAATAGCTACATAAACGTAACACACACACACACACATTATTCTATCAATATGGTGACTTTCAACTAGCATAACTTAATATTGAATTGATCAGTCTTAAAAATTCATATGGTTTCATGGACAAGACAAGACCATAACATTATGAAGTCTGTAATGCGTTGTACTTGTTCATCCACTCTGTTGCTGAGTCAAACTTAAAATACATTCAAAACTTACAAATGAAAAATATTAACAAAAGAGCACAGCATTTCACATTTTTAACAAAAAAATGTCAGCACATTAAAGCGAATGTTAACTAATCACTGTATAGAATTATATAACCTAAGTCACAGAAAATGTAAAAACTGTGAATCTTAACTCTTATAAAGTAAAAGTGAAACATGATTGTCCACTTTAATCTTTTAAATCCCAAGGGTAGATTATATCGTCACCTATTTGGTACAGAAGAATAATAACAGTAATTCCAATATGAATAACTTGATTGAAAATCGGTGTCAAAATATATTTAGATCAAGTGCCTGTTTATAGATTATATTATTAGGAATTAATTATTTTATCCCACTTTTGACATGATACATGTTGTTCTTTCAAAAAAACAATGTTAAATGAAACATTCTGTAAAATGGGGTGTTTAGTAACAGAGTTACTTGTTGTCAACTACACTATCTATCTATAAATCCTAACTGATTAAGACCTAAAAGTAGAGTTTCAATTAAAGAATGCTTATATGAAGCAATACATAATTATACTATCAGTTAAATTGAATACAATAAATACATCATTAACTTGTGTTCCAATAAATTATCTCATGCAGTATTCTGCATGAGATATTCTCTTCAATGAGAATTTAACAACATGGAATGCTCTAAAATTTCTGTATCTATAATTTAGGGTTGGCTGCATAAAGCGCCTATAATTTACTAATGACACATATCAAATACGCATTACACTGGGCATTCTATCTAACATGAACAAAAAAGAAGCAACACTGGATAAATATTTGTCAATACATTATTATAATTATAGATTCTATAAATGTCGAAGTGATTTTCTGCTATTATTTTGAAGTCAGAGTATCCTGTCGCAAGGATTTTATTATGTATACTAATACAAATGGCACACCAACATAATGTTGATGAGGGTCAAATTTAGTGACTAATCCAAAACACCATTATTATTTAACTATGCACCTACAAAATTTACATCATGTGACTTTTTCATACATTAATTAAAATAGTATCGAGATTTAATATTAAATTAATTAATAACTGAGTAAGTCAAAACTTTTTATCGCCGCATGCCTGCTGCATACCCTGCAATCTGCCTTAAGCTGGAAAAGTTAACAGTGATCAATTTTTTTACTGTAAAATGCTCAGTGCAGGGTTTTCTACATAAGCCATATGTTTTCAATAAAGAACAATCCAGTACCCTTTAGTACTTTACTAGTAAGCCTCCATTATCATTTATATGACTATGCCAATTAGTGGATAGCCAAAGTTATATTTAATGCAGTAAATTTTCACTCCTATTATACATTCCATTTTAAAAATATTGCCTTATGAAATTAAATCATATTGGCACGCGGCATGGTGTACTAAATCCTTCATCATCTAATCTTACACAAGTCAGTCAATCCTCTTTCCATCAACACATGCTGCATACAGCCAAATTAACATAAAATTTAATATAATTACATTTGAGACTAAACTAAGCACAGCGCCGTTCGGCATACGCGACAACGCATCCAGCTAATTCTATACCACTTATCGATTCGACTTCAATGCGTTATAAAAATAAACAAAGACGCAGACTTATCGATTCGTCACTTTGGAAAAGATTTTAAATAACTAAAAATTTAAAACTATATTCGAGGAGGGTCAGGAGTGCTCGCTAAGCTGAAGCAAATTACGAGCTTAAAGTCCTAAACAAGAAAAATGCAATCACGAATGCTTCACAACAATTACACCAGGTCTTGGAGGTGGTGGATGTTCTGCCTTCTTAGTGAGAGCTAGAGGTGCATCACCAGCTTCTTCGCGGAACAAATGATCACCCTCAAGGTGACGAATGGCCTCCACAATAGTTTCCAAATTCTGTCGACTAGTGCTCGCGAGATAGAGTCGTGATGGTGCATCATGAGTTGCATCAGGAAGAACTTCTACTTCAACACGTGGCTCTGCTTTTATGGCGGCTTCTAGTAACGGTGCTGCTACAACGGCGGGCTCAACGGGGGGCGGCTCTACTTCCTCACTTTCCAATTTACATTCTGCAATGTCAGTTTGTTCAAAATGAATTACAGGACGACTTAATTCGTGGGTACTGTTTGGGTAAATTTGAGCTTCAAGTGAATGTAAACGCTCTTCCAGGTGCCGTCGAAGTCTCCGTTCACGATCCAGCTGAACTCGTAATTCACTGCTTTCCACTTCTTTTTTCTGTGAAACACTTGTCACAGATATCACAGCCACTGGCTCAGGTGATCTGGATGTGGTTAAAGTATCTTCAGTAGAGTCTGGAATTATGGCTGGCACATGAGTGATAATATCTCCTTTTCTCTTCTTCAGGGGTATTTCACCTCCTTCGTGTTGATTTAACAATCTCTTCAATTGACAATTCTGAGAAAGAAGTCTCGTTTTTTCTTGTTCCAAGTTGTAAATATATTCAGCTGTCTGCTGTAGTATGGCAGCCTGCAAAATAATATTATAAGATGTAATAACATATGCATACTAAAAAAAATAAACATCTAACTGCCATTACACACCAATTCTTATATACCATTTATAATTTATGATAGGAGATAATAATAAATTAGCACAATATCCTTTTGTGTACATTACTTTGTTATTCAGGTACAGCTGTTAATTGAGGAGTGACTTTTCAAAACGGCTTACTTCGGGTTCCCAATTTTACTTATTTTTTTAATGCCAATCGGGACTTTATGTACACTCACATTATATGACGTGAAGTGTCCGGTTCTTTATTCTTTATTAGAACTTGGGAACTAGAAATTGGGAACCCGAAGTAAGCAGTTTTGAAAAGTCACTCCTCAATTGTGACCAATTATAATTTTTCAAATTATCTGAATTATTTTGGGTTGTTGTTGTTTTTTTATTTATCATAACTTTTTTAATCAGCAGAATCTCATCTGTTGGTACATAGCAAAACTTCCAGATCACTTTCTGGAAAATGAAATGTATATAAATCAAATAAAATGATGTTCTAAAAGTATTTGTTATGTTTATAGCAAATTCCTATATTTTTAAATTACAAAAAGCTATTAAACTTTTTATGGACGAGCCACCAGTTACTTATGTATATTTAACTTTACATTTAGTTCCCATAAGTTTTATAAATTTTAAAGCACATCAAATATAACTTTACACCTTTCAATCTTTGATGATGTATGAAAGATTCAAATGTGTCATACCAAACTGTAAACTTTTCGGTATGATGTAATAAAAAATATTACATATTTGATCTTATAATAATTGTATTTAGTATTAAAAGAAATATGAAATAATTGGTAAATATAGTATAGTATATAGTAAATAAAACAAATTGGAGAAAGTAAGATCACATTGCCCATATGGGAATATAGAAATTTATGGCATGAATAACATTATTGGAATATACTACATACTTTGCTTAGCTTTTCTCCCTCATGACGTGGTAACAGAGTACGTAGTGCTTGGAAGCCAGCATTAATACTCTGCATTCGTCGACGTTCATTGCTGTTAGCAATTTCTCTTCGAATCCGCTTTTCAGCCTCCATTGTCTTTCTTCCTGATCCTGGATGCTTGTCACTGTAAATTAAAACAAAATATCACCTAAGAATATAATAACATGAAGAGAAAAAAATAAATTGGTTGCTATTTTCTAATAGGCAAAAATGTATATTAAATATTTGTAACTACATTTGTAAAGTATCAATATTAATACACCACACTTTTCTGAAACTTAATTCAAGTACAAATTTATAATATTTGCTTTTTAAGTTTTGTTAATAAACAGTATTCGTTCTAATAGGATATTGTTCAAAATGCAATGACTAAATAAAGATAAAGACTACATTATAATTATTAATAATATAATAATAATGCTCAAAGAAGATTTTACCGAGATCAAGTAAACTTAAAATATTACTGTTAATTAAAGTAAAATAATGTCTATTAGACACCCGGTTTTAATAATATTAATAATGTTTATTCCACAGATGTACTATTCCAATACATCAATACTGTAACCTCAGTACATCATAGTTGTTGTTATCGAGTTTTAATTATCCAGAATATTATTAGCATTGAATTTGTTTATAAAAAACATGAATGAATGTTTTTACGCTAGTTTACATATGTTTGATAGTACATTTGCGTTAGGTGGAGGCGCCTACTACGCCTATTCGATTTGACCAAACATGGCGGCCCAACAGCTGACTACAGGCCGGCACGGGGCGTGAGCGTCATCATATGGCCCGCGTAATCATAAATTGATAAAGAAATACAAAAATAACAAATTTCTAACTACAAAATGAGTAAATATAAGAATTTTGAACAGGAATACGAACAAACAAGCAAAATTTCGGCGACCACGCCGGTTATCCATACCTGGTCAAAGCGTGATCAGATGCCTCTTCTTCGTATAAGTTATAGTCTTCCACTTCTAGCAAACAAACGTCATTACCGTGTAATGACATAACTTAGGTGCACTAATTATTTAATATTCATCTAAATATTGAGGGGCACGCACAGAAAATCTTAGTAATAATAAATTCACAGGCCACAATGGCGGGAAATGACAATGAGTTCAGTCAGGTGACGCTACACAAAATAAAGAACACAGCAGTTTAACACCCACAAATTTCACTGTCTAAAACATATATACGGAAGAAAGCAATGTGGAGACATACAATTTCAGTAAAATATTCACAAATAACTTTTAAAAACAGTAATTAGATAGAGGGAGTCAAGGGCAACGCAACATCAATGCCTAGTACACCATAGACTAACTAAATTTCGTGATAGAGCTATTCGAGCTACTACAGTTTACAACTAAACAGCAAAACATAGACAAGTAGATATTATTGGAAATAATTAATAGTAATTATCACTTTAGTTATGAGATAAATATTAGTGTTTTATTTTCTTATATAAATGTCCAATCTACTTTTAAAAAATATAAAAATAAAAGTCTTGCAATTCAAAAAGTTTCTGAACGTCGTGTCAATTTCCATAATTATGATTTCCATGCTCGTAAAACATTATTTTGTTACAAACAAGGAGTATATTAATAAGTTTAGGGTTACAAACTCTATGCAGTCATACAGTTTTATGTTATGAGTTGTTATAATTATTTTTTTTTCTGTCTGTAATTTTTATAACGTGATAAATACTTGTTATTTTTTTAATTAATTTTCAAGGCTGTTTAAGAAGTTAAAACCAATTAAACTATAAGACCGGAAGGTGGAAATCGGAAAGTTAATGAATTTTTATAACACGAATAAGATAAAACTGAGTCCATCTATAGAGCCCAGGTGTAGCCGGCGCAACTAATTTTTTAGGTATCAATATCATACAACTCGTACAAGGACACTGAAATTTGACCATCATATTATTATCATATATAGCAGAGCATATCATATTTTGAATGTCGCTTACCAATATTAGAACTTTTTATTGTCCATACCGTAACTATTTTGTTAGTATTTTTGGGACCACAAAGTCCTGGACCATTGAAAAGCTTATGAGGAGCCGGAACAAACTCGCAGAGTTAACGGACTTCAACAACTTTAATAATTTGCAAATAAAAATAACCATAAACAAGAACTAGATGCATCCTACACTATGCTTTATTCATTGTTATTATGTTGGTTGCTTCTTCATGTTCAGATTTGTAAGGTTGGTTGCAGTGAAGCGTCTAGAATGCATGAACCAATCGGAAACGAGTTCAAATTTTCAAATAATTTTTGAGGTGGGGATTTCGTCCTGCCGCCATATTGTGTCGGGCTGTGAGTGCTAGAAGTGAATATTTGAAGTATTTCTGTGTAAATTCTTTGTTAAAATATTTCGGATTGATAAGCTATAAGGTAAACTATGATTTAGTATTAGTTTTTGTCATAATGTTGGTATTTATAAATTAAATATATGTAAAACAATTACATCAATTATAAGACATCAAGCCGGTTGCTTTATATCGCAGCATCGGAAAGCACTACGGTCTAAGTAATGAACTAAGAACTTAAAAAAACTTATTTAATTTGTAACCGTCGAAATATTGTCATGTCTACTTATTTAATTTTATTCGAAAGCTACAGAAAATTTTCACGATGCGATGTTCCTCAAGGGAGATACTTGATTGGTACCCTTAACGTTAAACGAAATACCTACATGGAAGTTCCAATTAATTAACTTAGTTATTACTATATATAATTATTGTTCAGATTTATTGAATACACATTTTCCTGGTATAACCATTAATCACTTGTTTGAGCGTAGTAAGTACCTACCTTCCTGTGAAACATTCCGGTAAATAGGCATGTTCTTTGTGATTAACAACGGAACGATGAATCATCGTTGTGACTAACTGGGGGAGACAGTAGTCACTCTAGAACAAGGGTGTCCTAAGTGAGCACCTTCGACAAGGTTAATTATTTTTCTATATAGTATCTAACAATTTTGTAATTCACTGTCAATGATTTTTGTTGAAGATTTTATTGTAGGAAACGTACCTACCTATATCTGTAAAATATGCGTAATGCATGTATTTAACAACTTATTTGTGTTTGTTGGTGTGTGTCATTCATGTAGTTAGTCCAAATTTCAGAGCACACATGACTGTCATTGATTTCGCCGTATTCGTAATACAGTCGTAAGTACTTTCCTCGGTAGTCTCGTAGCTTTGTTGGGGCGGTCGACAACTCCCCCAGGGCTTGAAAGCTCTCGCATCCAGAGTCTGATCAACGAGTGAGTTTTTTTTTTAATTTTGGTATTTATGCGTCATGGAAGGTTTAATTAAATCACAATAACTTGAATGTGAATTTGCGAATATTGGGCGCGGTTTGTTTGCAGGGATGTTGAGATTAGAATCAGTATTCATGGGAAAAAGTGATCCTCGAGTATGAGATCTTAATAAAAATATAATACATAATTATAATTACCATTTTGTGCAAATAGACTTCTTAGGTATACTGTTATAATTTCGAAACATGTATTTATCTTTCAAAAAAATTTACATATTAACCGTGTGTTTCAAAAACGTACCTCGTGTGTTCATAAGTTTTGAGACAAATTAAAAGTTGCATATCTTTTTAAATAATAAACTTATATTTATAAAAACAATAACAAACATTAAGTAGATAGTAAGTAAAAATTAAATATAATTATTATTCAAAATGACCACCCCTGTTTTTAATACATGCCCTTAGACGATTTGGCCAGTCATCAATGGCGGCACGAATCTTTTCCAGAGGAATTCGCTTCGCTTCTCGGACAAGAGCTCGCTTAAGTGACTCCAAGTTTGGGTGGGACTTTCGGCAGGCTCTGAGCTCTAATTCGGTCCATAGAGAATAATCCAGCGGGTTGAGGTCGGGGCTGGAGGAGGGCCATTCGTTCGCCGCAATGAAGGCCGGCACATTTTCCTTCAGCCAAGCTTGGGTGGTTTTAGCCTTATGGGATGGCGCCGAGTCTTGCTGGAAAACCCAATACTTGTTATGGAATAGGGTATTAGACAGGGGTTTCACAACAGTCTCTAGAATGTCACTTTGATAATTTTTGGCTTTCACCTTGACGCCTTGTTGGCAGAAATGAAGCTGAGTGACACCTTCGTACGAAACTCCCCACCATACCATGACACTAGCCGGATGATGAGTACGCGAGACATTCCGTGCTGAAGGTGGGACATCCTTGCTACTTTTGGCATACACTTTATTGTTTTGTCGATTGAACTTTTCTTCGACGGTAAAGATTTTCTCGTCGGTGAAGAGTATCTTCCTCGCATCGTGTCTCCTAAGCAGTATTGGACAACGTTCGCGTCGCAATTGACGAAGGCGATCGTTTAAAAAGTGTACTTTTCTACGGCTATACGCCTTAACCTTGAGATCATATTTCAGTATTCTGTTGATTGAAACGCGCGAAATATTGGTCTGCAGAGCGAGTTTCTTCTGAGTGCGACATGGATTTCGGCGAAGTCGCTCTCGGATGATTTTAATGTTTGCAGGCGTCCTCACAGAGCGTGGACGACCACTTCTTTGCCGATCATGTAAAGAACTTGTCTCCTGGTATCGTTTAATAGTGTAATACACGAAGTTACGGCTCACACCAAAACTTTTCAGTTCTCGGAAAATGTCCATAGGTTTTCTTCCCACCTTAAATAATGAAATGACGGTCGCACGTAATTCTTTTGTTCCCTCCATTACGAGAAAATTTTAATAAAATAATCCGAAATCATAGATATTAAAAGTTAACATTCCAAATTCAAAATTAGAAAAAGAAATATTCAGCAGCCAGTAATTTTTATTTTATTTTTATAAGCAAAAAGTTTGTCTCAAAACTTATGAACACACGAGGTACATTGCATTTTACGCCGATCGTAGGTGAATTGTAAACAACCTATATTTTATTGATATCTTGATCACACCGAAGTATAGGATTGTATTTCCTGTGGCGTCACAGTTATACCGCAAGATACTGGTAGGTAGTTGACTACCTACCCAAGTTTCCTAGCAAGTATAGTATATTATAATAATATAAATGTCCTATTAATAATTGATAATCTTTAATAGTAGATGCATAACCTTTCGCTCCTACAAATCAACATACATCGTAGTATGTATTTTAATACCCGTAGGTATGTAAGTAGGTACTAATGAGTAGCTTAAGTACCTATAGGTACTTACATTCGTCATATATATATCTATAAAAAGTGAATCCCTATATCCCTTGGTCACGCCATCACGTGTGAACGCCTGGACCGATTTCACTTTTTCTTGAGTTTGTTATTGTTGATGAAGTTCTTATGACAGAAAATTTTTATATTTTAAATTTTATACCAGTGTAGATTATGGTCGAGAATAACACAGGCTACTTTTTATCACACGGGGCCACATGCGAAGCCGCTGGCAGAAGCTAGTGAAATAAAAATCTATAGTTGTCTAGTATGACGTAAATAATATCGTTTGCTGTATATAAATGTGTTACATAGGTATCTTCTTTTTCCTACATAAGAACTTACCTATACCCAGGATATTTAAGAAGGCAATGACTTAAGCTTACCTTACATTCACTAAAATTACTAACTTTCAATACATTTTATAGGTAGTATAGGTACCTACACGGTACGGTTTTATGAAGTGTGGTAAAATAAAATCGTAAAATTAACACCTATTATGTACAAATAAGTACCAAATACTGAAAGCATATCTCATCATCAATACTTTCGTTGGACTAACAAAATAAATTACGCGCTTGAAGAAGAAGCAATCTGAAAAGCCACTCTAAAATTATAGGTTTTACATAAAAATATTATTATATACACGTCCTATTGGTTTTTTAAGTGTGAGAGAACCATGCTTCGGCACGAATGGGCCGGCTCGACCGGAGTGATACCACGGCCTCACAGAAAACCGACGTGAAACAACGCTTGCGTTGTGTTTCGTTGTGTGAATGTGGTTACCGGAGGCCCAATTACCTCCCTCCCTAGTCTCCCGAATCCCCGAATCTTCCACAATCTTCAAATTCCCAATAGGCCGGTAACGCACTTGTACACCTTGGTGTTTCGGGTGTCCATGGGCGGCGCCGATTGCTCACCATCAGGTGATCTGTCTGCTCGTTTATCGGCTTATGCTATAAAAAAAGACACTAGGTTTGGTGAAACATGAAACGACACAGCACATAAAATAATTCTTAGTTCTTAGTAATTACTGTTTCCCTAAATAAACTAGATACTCCGCCGACGGCGGTCGGCAGTCGGTTTGTTTTGTCGAGAAGGTGTTAAAATCGTG